CCGAGTCCTTCCTCCTCGTTCTCGCCCCCCCCCTCCTTTCCCATTATCTGCCGTCCCCTGGTCAGCCTGTTCCTTCCTCGCCTTTCGCTTCAGCTCCATCTGCTGCTGCTCCTCTACGTCCATCTCATAGTTGATCCTCTTTGTCTTCCACCCGCGCATCCCCTTGCTCATTCGCCACCTCTTCTGAAGTGCGCAGCTCCATGGCTCCGACTGCGCAGGACACGAGGGGGATCTCTCAAGAAAGCCGGGTCCGATACGACACGCGTCGGCAGAGAAGGAACACGCAACAGCGCAGCGAAAAGGGGCTCGTGGGAGGGGTCGAGTGTTTGCTCTGGCGCGAGCTCACACTTGCTCTTGACTCGACCCCTCTGCCGTCGCCCTCTCTTGTCGGGATGGGGCAGGAGATGAAGAGGAAGAGAAGGGGCAGCAAACACGTGAGCGACGGAAGAACACGGAGTCGTCTTCGCCGACGTTGGCGCGCAAGTTTCCCGCGTATAGTCGCGCGTAAGCGCACCCGCCTCTAATGTGGCGTGTCGCGTCGGCGGCCTGCGTAAGCCGCCGCGTCATGACGCCACGCCATCTCGCGTAAGGCCCGATTCTTTTTGTCGCTCACGTGGAGGCGGGAGCTGGGGGAGGACACCGTTGACAGATATACAAAACAATGGGGTGAAGGACGTCGAGATGGAGGAGGGGGGGCATGCGGAGAAGGACGAGGGCCGAGGGCAGTTGGGTAGAGGGAGGAGGGGGTAGGGAGGATTTGTGGAAGCCGCATTAGGCGAGAGGGTGCCTACTCCCAGGGGGTATATTGGTGCAGCGGGCTGCTCAACCAGGCTCGATGGGGCCTAATTCCTAGGTGGGCTGGTCTGGCCGAAACGGGTGGCCACCTGAAGACTCGGGCTCCCTGTGGGGCCACGCAACGTGTGAGGGGTCCACCCAAATGGGTGCGGTGGACGAGTGCGAACGCTTGCATTTGGGAATTCGGTGGGGCTCCTTGTGGGGCCACGCAACGCGTGAGGGGTGTGCCCAAATGGGTGCGGTGGACGCGTGCGAACGCTTGCGTCTGGGCCTTCGGTGTTGCCCCCTGTGGGGCCACGAAACGTTTGATGGGTGTGGCAAAATGGGTGCGGTGGGCGTATGCGAACGCTGACACTTGGGAATTCGGTGGGGCTCCCTGCGGGGCCACGCAACGTGTGAGGGGTGTGCCCAAATGGGTGCGGTGGACGCGTGCGAACGCTTGCATTTGGGCCTTCGGTGTTGCTCCCTGTGGGGCCATGGAACGTGTGAGGGGTGTGCCCAATTGGGTGCGGTGGCCGCATGCGAACGCTGACACTTGGGCCTTCGGTGGGGCTCCCTATGGGTCCACGCAACGAGTGAGGGGTGTGCTGAAACGGGTGATGACGATGATGATGGAGGACGGAGGAGGAGGGAAGAGCGGGAGGAGGAGGAGTGAGGACGCGGAGCGTTGTCTCTTCAAAAAGAGGACCCAACACCACAGGATGGTTGGGAAAAACGGTCCAAGGGATGTGGTCGAGAGAAACCTTTGGGGGTCGACGTTATGAAAAAAATATCCCGGCAAAGCAACCTAACAGCGATGTGTAGAAGCATATCTGGAAGCATTCCCCTTAAGATTTAGGTGAGAATCCATGTAGAATTCTGCTGTTCTTGCAGTCGCAGCCTCAGCCTGCCTCGGCTTGCCTCGGCCTCAGCCTCAGCCTGCCTCGGCCTCAGCCTCAGCCTCAGCCTTCCTCAGCCTCAGCCTCAGCCTCAGCCTGCCTCAGCATCAGCCTGAATCAGCCTCAGCCTCAGCCTGCCTCAGCCGCAGCTTGTCTCAGCCACAGCCTCAGCCTCAGCCTCAGCCTGCCTCAGCTTCAGCCTCAGCCTCAGCCTGCCTCGGCTTGCCTCGGCCTCAGCCTCAGCCTGCCTCGGCCTTAGCCTCAGCCTGCCTCGGCCTGCCTCGGCCTCAGCCTCAGCCTCAGCCTGACTCAGCCTCAGCGTCAGCCCCCTGAGGAGTCATGACGCTTTCTTTTGACCCCACTAGAAACCTATCAGTCTTCGCTGTTAGGTAATCACGACGTCTGGTGTCTGGGTCTGGGTCCGAGAACCCCAAGGGAGTGTCCCGCGGCGACGCTGAGGCCTGAGTGCAGCCCCAGCTCGAGCCTATCGCATGTCAAGGTGCGATCGGGGACGGCGCCCAGGGCCGTCTCCGGAGCCCCCAAGGAAGTGTAAGATCGTCTCTTTGCAAGTGCAATCGGGCTTGGGCTCCTTGCCGACATCAGAATTCGTTGGGACAGTAGAGAACACTAGGAACTGGATAGGCTTGGCGTGGCCGGCCTTGGCGAGAATTGAATGCACATGTGGTCGCGAGTCGTTCATGCGCTCGGCTCTCATATGGGCAGGCACGCTGGCCCCCGCATGGAATTCCATCGCATGGTCTTCGCATGTCCCGCGTGCGAGCTCAGCCGCAGTAGTCCCCAGTTTCGTGGCAAAGTCTACACTGTAAACAGGATGTCGTGCGCAAGTCAGCGCGCGCCACGCGAAAGCAAGTGTGGGCACGAGGAGCGGTTGATGATGACGCCACCAGCGGGAGGTCTCTGTGGGAGGAGGAGGAGGAGGAGGAGGAGGAGGAGGAGAAAGAGGAGGAGGAGGAGAATGAGGAGGAGGATGCGTCCCCCCTACAGTCAAAGACCAGAGTAAGGCTCCAGCACTGTACAAGGCTACCCGTGTATTCTGGCTGTTTCGATGCTCCCTGAGCCAGCTTAGGTCCCTGCAAGGTCTTTCATTGGTCTTTGAAGGGCCCTGCATCCTTCTCCAGCAGCCTTACGATGATTGCTTCGAGGGATGCTTCGATGCATGCCCTTCGTGCGCATGCCCCTCCCCCTCCCTCCCTCCTTCATGTGAAAGCTTGGAGGGATTTATCTTCAGATAATACGTGTGTGGGAGGAAAAAATGAGAGCGAGAGAGAGAGAGAGAGAAACACAACCAAACAACAAGCAACAGCTGAGAGGCGTCCCTGGTGAACGCGGTGGGGGACGCGATGCAGGGGAACAGCGCGTCCGCCATGTCCGAGATGCTGAGGACATGGGGCCCTTTTGGGGGGAGAAGGGGCAGGGGGAGGGGGAGGGGGAGGCTAGGAGGGGGACGGGGAGGAGGGAGGAGGAATGGGGGTGAGGGGGATGAGGAGGAGGAGGAGGAGGAGGAGGTGGGAGGGGCGGAAGAGGAGGGGGGGGTAGAGGAGGAGAGGGAGGAGGAGTATAAGGAGGAGGGGGAGGAGGGGGGAGGAGGAGGAGGGGGGTCGGGGGAGGGGGGTGCGAGTGGCGGGAGAAGGAGGAGGAGGAGGAGGAGGAAGAGGAGGAGGGAGATGATAAGGACCAAGGGTGAGCGAGGAGGAGCGAGGAGGAGGAGTGGCTACAGCTTGGGGCGGCGGAGGGGGGAGGATTGCGAACTATCGCCAGAAGGTTGGAGCAGGGCTATCCTCATCTTTTGTCCTCCCTTTTCTCCTCCCTCCTCCTCCCTCCGCCTCGTCTTTCTTGTCCTGTGGTCCTCTTCGTCATCCCCCCCAAGGGGTCGAGGTTGATGATGGGGTGGACGATGAGGCTGAGGATGGGGATGGTGAGGCAGGGGGAGTGCGGAAGAGGATGGAAATCAGGATGATGGTGATGATGACGATGATGATGATGATGCTGCTGATGCTGCTGCTGATGCTGATGCTGATGCTGATGATGATGATGATGATGATGATGATGATGATGATGATGATGGTGAGGAGGAGGAGGCGGAGGAGGAGGAGTATTTGGAGGCTGGAGCAGCTCGCCGTCTTCGCGGACGAGGCTGGCAAGCTGGACTTGGTAAGCGACTGGGAGGTCGACCCGGGCATGAGGCCCCACGCCGGCTTGGCCTTCACGACAGGAATCGGTACACAAAGAATTGCATCATAACACGCTAACGACTTGTATTAACATGTACTGTCGGAGCTCCGCGCGGATGTCTTGGATCTGCGCTGGGCCCCCTGGCGGCGCCTATGGCGCCCCTCTGGCGCCGCCCCTTGCGCACTTCTCGTGCCAGGGAGGGGGTTCAGCGCCGATGCAAGAAATCAGCGCGGATGAGTCAACGTTTTTGCTCATTGACTTGTTGCTTTTCACTTGTTGCTCCTTTACTTCCAGTCGAAGTCGGCACGAAAGGACCAGGAGCGACGACCACAATCAGTTTGTGCCCGCTTGCTGTACGATGCGTTGGCGGTGTTGTCGCGGGCGTTGTCCACTTTGGACAGAAGGTCGCCTGCCCAACAGAGGCCACAGCAGGTTGGTTTGGGATCATTTTCCGTTCGGCATCGCACCCTTTTACAGTCTGTACCATTTCGGGCGTGCCATGCGGATGCCGTAGGCTCGCCGCGTTGACGCGGCTGCGACCCCAGCGCTGGCGTTCAAGGTCGAGCGCCGCCAGTAGCCCAGAAGCGGCAACAAATTATCTTCGCCAGTGGAGGTCCGCGAGTGTACACTGCGGATCTGCGCTACCAGAGGTCCGCGATCCGCTGGGTGCCAGGCGCCGTTGATTGGGTCATCGCGACGCGAATCCGCCGCAAAGTCAAGCACTGCAAGTGCCACCAGGAAACTCGACAGAAGCAGATGGATGCACGCGCGGCCGCGGGCCTTTCTAGCAGTAGGTTCTCGCGTGACTGGGCAAGCTGGGTGTTGATTCTCAAAGTTTCGATCCAGGCTTTGTTCCAGGGCGGCCAGAGGTCGGCGCAGCGCGTTCTGTTCGCAGCGGTGCGCTCGCTGGGCTGTCACTGCGCCGTCATTGTGGACACTTAGGTGTCACTGTCGGGAAGGTTTGCTTAGCTTGTCGCTCCGCCGGCTCTGGCCCACCACGCCTCGGCGCGACACGCTCCTTAACCTGGAGGTCGGAAAGTGGTATGGCATAAAGGGGTGTGGTGCCAATCGTGGGAATGGAGATGTTGTCTACGATGGTGAGCATCGCCAGATTCAGCATTAGCACGCCCCTCTATGCCACACCCCGTTCCGACCTTCAGAATTCACCATGTCCTTGTCCTCAGGCGTCAAGGCCGTCCACGTGACAGATGAGATGGCACGGATGACGCCAGGGCTAGACCTAAACGCTGTTTTGCTGGACTTGGCTGTGCCTTGTTTTTCGTTTTGGCAGGGAGGTACAGGAAAACAGGTAGAGCAAAACGGAAAGCAAAACGAAAAAAAACGAGAAACAACGTTTTGGTCCAGCCCTGGATGACGCCCCCCATCTCGCACCCGCCTCCCGCAGCAGGCAGACAGTGCATGCGCACCCGCGCGGCCCACACCCCAGCCAGGGATGAAAACGTGGTTGGGTCCAGGGTGTCCGAAAAGTCCGCCGCATCTGTCTGAGATCATGGGGCCTCCAGCGGCGGCCGAGGTGTGGCGGCCGTGCTTGGGGCACAGCACGCAGAGCTTCGACCTCTCGAGCGCCCCGGCTTCCCCACGTGGCGCTCGGACCCGAGCTTTCCCCGATCCTGCCGCCAAGGGCGGCGTGGGCGGCCCGCCCGAGTGGCCCACCGGCCAGGTCGGGCCCCCCGCCGATGGGATCCTGTGTGCGCTCTCAACTGCTCTCGCGTGGAAGATCCATTGCGGCACCCCCGCGCCAGCTTCCGTGGCCTGAGCGGGCTCCTCCCTCTTCACGGAAGCTGGAGCATAGACATTACCAGTGGCTGGCTCTTTTTCAATACCAGGACTTTTTTTGAGGATCGAGGACGACGCTGGGTTGGTGTGGTGCATACTTTTTTTCCCCGATGTCCCGTGGAAGCAACGAAACATGTATACACCAGGGTCCCGTATACACTGGAATCCGCTCTCCAGTGCAGTTTCCAATGCAGGTATGCACAAGAATCCGCTTTCCAGTGCAGTTTCCAATGCAGGGCCGGAAGAAGCGTCGGTGTATAGAGTTCGATTCCATATCTTCCCCCCCACCCCCTCGCGCTCGGTTCCTCGTCGCCTTCCCGCCTCGAGTCGCTCCCGGTGCACCCCACCGCTCGCTGACCGGCGCCTGACTGTCTTTGACCACCTGGCGCCCGCGGGCGAAAAATACGTTCTGGACTTTCGCCCCGCTCAACCACGGCCAGGGCAAGTTTTTCTCAGAGTGTTGTGCCGCCGGTTCTGGCCCACATCGCGTCGGCACGACACGGCAGGCACGTGGCAGTCCCCAAGAACGAGTGCCACGAACTGTTGCAACACCCCCGTGTCACGAAACACAGCGAGACATAATTTGATTCGAAAGCGGAGCAAGTTGCAGGGGCCGCTGCCGCAACGCGCTAAGCAAAAGTACCTCACCAAACGGTTGGTTCGTGTCGTGCCGACGCGGCAGCGACCCCGCAGCGGGCGTGCACGGCTCAACGCCGACAGCCGCGAGTGGCCCAGAACCGGCCACTGGAACGATCTGGCGATCGAAAAACCGCCGACTGTGCCAGGTTGAACCATCCCACGGGGTCAGGGACCAACGCCCAGGTCGTCACGACACGATCAGCCACGCGCAGAGGGCGGTAGGGTAGGAAGCCCTCCCCCCTCTCCCTGTACCCCCTTTGCGCGCCGCCGACACGAGCCTGCCGTACCCGTGTTGCCTCCCTGTGCTCCACCTCTTCTGCGGCTGACACCCCGCCGAGCAAAGTACCGCCTCTGTCGCCACGCCCGTGCTGCCCTGCGCGGGTAGTTCGCCGGGCAGTGCAGCTCGCCCACGCTCGTGCCCCGACGTTGGTGTTCCCTTTCTGTGTGTGTACCCATCGGTCGTGGAAAGTACAGTCGGGGCGTTGACCTCAGGAACCCTTTTTCAGGAACGAGGCCCCTTTTTCCACAAGTTCACCCTCGACTTCCCATGGAAAGCCTCGGGAAAACCCGAGGCAAACTTTGAAACAATCCAGGAACACCGAGCCCCTCCCCAACGAAAAGGGTTCCTTCTTCAGCGCCCCGACATTATGCATTTGTTGAGCCCCATATTCCAACATACTTTAAGCGCCTTCCCATCTCAATGTTCGAGTGGCTTCACCTTGTTCGTCTTCCTTCGGGGGCTGGCGCGCACCCGATCTGCTTTCGACGCCCTCCCGCTTCCTGTTTCTGCCTGCTTCTGCCGGCCGATGGGTGTATGCAGCCTTCGGCAGCACGAGGCAGCGGCTGCTGGACATGTATGCGAAGACGGGCGGGGAGCAGCCGCGCGACGTGAAGCTGCCCGGGGCCTAGCTGTTTCGAGCTGCTGGGCCAGGATGGGCGACTCGATCCTGTGCGCTTCGATCCCGCGAGGATGGACACAGTCCTGATGCGGTTCCATTTGTTCAAGCCGGTGTCCGGCTCCCCCGCCCCATTCCGGCAGATTCGGTCCAGTGGTGGTCGCCTCATCTGGTGATGGCGCTCGGCCCCCATCGTTCCGCGGTCTGTTATCCTGCCCCCCCTCCCCTTCTCCCCTATCTTCTCCGCCGTGCTAAGGTTGGAGCGGATTTTGGGATTGGTTCCAGTTCCCGCTGAGTCATAGAGACTTCGTGCGCTAGTGCCTGGACTGAAGTTCCACCGGAGACACAGGCGAGGCCTGTGGATGCAGTCTTTTCTCAATGGTCCCACTCCGACCCCGCCAGTGTGCCGTTGGGTGGACAATGAGCCTCCAGGCGCTGCGGAGGTGTCTAGGCGGGATTCGGCCTTTTTTGGGTGGGTGCCCTGTAGCAGCTGCTTTTGCCGGACGGGGCTAGGGCGAGGATTGATCTGGTCCAGAGTGTCTTGGGACGCTCTCTCAGAGCGTTCCGGAACGCGCTGAGAAGGCCGCGGCGTCCGAGACATCCTCCAGAGCGGCCAGATCTCAGAGATGCTCAATTTTTCCCTTAGATCCGGATCTGTCCTCTTCTTGGCTTCGTCCTCTTGTGCTCGAACTGATCATGGAGGACGCCTTGCGGCAGCACCCCGCGACCCCGGCCCCCGAGCAGAGCGAGCCAGCTAATGTCGGCGGAGAGCCGCGGCTCTCACGACGAATCGTGGTGGCTTTGTCCTGCACGTTGTTTCCTCAGTGCATCGCTATGGCTGCAGTGTGTGCGGTTTGTTGTCGCGCTGTACTCACGGTTTCGGGGGTGGACAGACCTCCTAACAGTGACACGTCGATTAGTGAATTGTCCGTTTTCGGTTCTCGAGAGGGCGCCGCGGCCGTTATTTTCCAGGTTTGCGCCCGCCAGGTTTGGGCCGGAGGTCGTTTTCACTGAGCCACGTTTTACTAAAGGGAGGTCTGTCCATCCCCGACGGTTGCGATGGCTGAGTCCGGGACACCGATCTGTGATCAGGACGGGCGGGAGAGGGAGGGGGAAATCATGAGGGAGAGGGAGAGGGAGAGAGAGGGGGGGACAGACAGTGGTGGCCCTCATGACATGTATGCATACACAGCTATGACTTACGCACACGTGTGTACATGAAGATTCCCCCAACAGTGCGTGCATCTAGGGTTTCTTATTTCTTTTCTCAGGAACTGGGCCTGCTGGCTGCTCTGGCCGCCATGTGGCCGGCGTCGCCGTCCGTCGCCGCCCGTCGCCTGGGCCTGCGGGCCGCTGTGGCTGCCATGTAGCCGCCGTCGCCGCCTCGTCGCCGCTTGTCGCCGCCCGTCGCCTGGGCCTGCGGGCCGCTCTGGCCGCCATGTGGCCGCCGTCGCTGCCTCGTCGCCGCCCGTCGCCTCGTCGCCATCCGCTTCGCATTGCTTTTCATTGCTTTGCATCGGTTTGCATTTCTTTGCATTGCTTGGATGGCATTACTTGGCATGGTTTTTCATTCCTCCGCATTGCTTCAGATCGTTTCGCATTGATTTGTATTGCTTGGCACTGATGCGCGTTGCTTTGATTTGATTGGCATGGCATTGCCTGACTCTGCATTGCTGCACCTTGCTTTGCGTTGTGTTGGCGTTGCATTGCTTTACATGGGTTTGAATGTGCATGCGTTGCGATGAATTCCTTTGCATTGCGTTGCGCTGAGTTGCATTGATGTGCGTTGCTGTGCTTTGCTTTGCGCTGCGTCGCATTGCTTCGCGTTGCTTTGCTTTGCGTTGAGGTGCATGGCTTTGTATTGTTTTGCGATGCGTAGCATTGGTGTGCGTTGCGCTGTGTTGGTTTGATTTGCTTTGCATTGCTTCGCATTGATTTGCGTTTCTTTGGATTGCTGTTCGTTGGTGTGCGTTGCCTTGCATTGTTTCGCAGTGCTTCGTATGATTGTGCTTCGCATTGATTTGCATTCCTTTACGTTGCTTCGTGTTTCTAAGCGTCACATGGACTGCAGCACCTAGATTGTACCACATCGGTTGCACCACCCAGACTGCGGCGCATAGATTGCAAGATCTCATTGCTTCGGGTCCGCGCTGGCTAACCTGTATATATATATATATATATATATATATATATAAGACACATATCTACACCACTAACGCTCCATCGCCAGCGCAGTGACTCTGCCTAGCCGCCGACGCAAAAAGTATGCATGTTGGCCTTCGGCCCATCCCGGCGGTACCGTGCCTGGGTGTCGTGGACAAGATGCCCCTTTGCAAACCTCCATGGGGTCGTTCGCAGCCCTCCGTGGTCGGGCCTCGACTGCTACCTTGGAGGGCAGGGCTCGAAATTCAATTTCGTGCCCCCGCGTTCTTGGGGCCTCCTTGGGGTCCTCGTGGGCCCTCCTGGGGACCTGGGGGTCTGTCTTGGGCTGGCATTAGTGACATCTTGGGCCCTCTTGTTCGCTCTTCATGCCGACCAGGTGGGCCCCGCATGCTGCTCTTGGCCATGGGACTTCAGGGGCACCTCCCCTCCGATCGACGCGCGGGCACCGAACTGTCTTCTCTGGCAGGGGTGCAAGGTGGGGGGTTGGTCGTTGCCGACGGGCCTTTGTGGGCCCCGGAAACGGCAGGGCCGTTTTTTCACCGTTTCCAAAAAAATGCCCCTTGAGAATGGAAACGGCCAAAAAACGGAGACCGGAAACGGCAACAAAAACGGCTCCAGGATTGGAACCGGAGCCGGAACCGGTCAAAACACGGCGACGGAACCGGTCAAAAAACAGCGACGGGACCGGTAAAAAAACGGCGCCGGAACCGGCAAAAAACGGCAAAACGGAACCGGTAACAAACACGGCCCTGTCGTTTCCAGGGCCCACTAAGTGGTGGGCACATCTTTATGTGACATCTATGTTCAACGATCTTGCAGCATAGACTCGTAGACGAAACAAGCCATTCCCCTGTTGGTGGTACACTAACTTCGGCGGGGGATATCCTGTGCAACTAGCTGTGGGAATCAGCGCGAGACCAATCCCGATGCTTGAGCAAACATCAACCCCACCCACCCAGAGCATGCTGGCAACACACAAGTTGCGTATTGATGCGAGGACCCCCCCTCAGGTAGATCATGATAATGGTGATGGGGATGGCCACGGCGTTGTTGTCGAGGGCGACGACAATGACGATGGCGATCACCGTGGCAATTTTGATGACGGCGGTGTGAACGATGCCTGTTGCAACGTTGGCAACCATGACGTTGATGACAATGTTGGCGATGATGCTTGAAAGGGGGACTCGGACATGCGCTCGCACGAAATATGGGAAGGTGGCAGAATGGTCATTTAACAACCATTGCGTGTTCATTCGCTTTGGGATCCCCCCGTGAAGCAAATGCTCTCGACATAAATGGGCTTGGCAGATTTCGACGTGAACGCGCGGACACGCGCGACGGTGTGGCGGTTTCGCGATGCGCAGTTGAAGCAGCTGGCGGCTTCGCGGTGAGCAATTGATGTTTTCGAATTGCGCGCGCAACCCACAGTCTTCCATTTGGCAATGGCGAAACACTTATGGTTTCGGTCCAGTTTTAGCGAATGCTCGAGCACAGAAGTTTGACATCTGTTTTCTATTGAGCACACTTGCTGCATTGTGACTGAGTGCAGTCGGACTGAGGTATAAGATCGAGGTCATTTCGGGGAGGGTACCCTCGTGTCCCACGTGCTTGTTGGATGGTATTGTTCACCCTGGTGAGGGCATCCTGTGTTGTTCTGTTTGTTTTGACTGGCGGAGGGTGTCGTGTCCTTGGAGGATGTCGCTCTGGCCTAGGTCCGACTGTAGGCATCTTTGTTGCATTGTGACTGACTGCTAGGGCTGGAGTGGATGAGAAGGAGGGGGAAAGGAAGGAAGGATGAGGACGGAGGAGGAGGACGGAGGAGGAGGATGGAGGAGGACGGAGGAGGAGGAGAAGGGGGAGAGGAGGAGGAGGGGGAGAGGAGGAGGAGGAGGAGGAGGAGGAGGAGGAGGAGGGGGAGGAGGAGGAGGAGGAGGAGGAGGAGGAGGAGGAGGGCGAGGGGGAGGAGGAGGACGAAGGGTTTGAAGCGGATAGGCATCAGACGGTGTTTGGTTTTGCGCCCGCGTTTGGGGGGCGCCCGCGCGTGTGGCCCGCGTGGACTTCGGCCGGCCGTGGGAACTGTTCTGCAGCAGTGCACCTCCGTATCCACCCTGACGCATGTGCACCACATTGTGTCTCTGCGCATGATGATGATTGAACAGTGGGTAACCGACCCCAGCCCCCGCGACAATGTATTTAATCTGCAAGTATGGCGACTGTGCGTGAGTGTAGGTGCCCTGTAAGCGAGGCGATTGCCAGCTGCCGCAGGGGTGGGGGGGTTGGGCGCGCGCGCAGTTAAGTTAGGTATGTTTTCACAGGGGAAAGCACATGATCAGCAGCGCGCCGTGGCTCAACGGCTGTCGGATCATGTTCCATCAGGCGCGCAAGGGGCAGAGCATGGGGCGGCGCCGTTGTGGCCGCGGGCGAAAACAGGAGCTCAGCATATTGCCGCATTGCGCGTGAAGCAGATGAGCCTGGACCTTCGCAGTATCTTACACGGCGGCTGTATACTATTCAGTGAGTGTGTGTGTATTTGGTTATTTTGGTTGCGCTTCTTTTCATGATATTCCCGTGAGGGAATTCTTCTCAGATGGAGCATGCGATCATGCGAGCATGGTTTGTCGAATTCTGCAGAGGCGGCATAGTTATGTGGCCTATGCTGCGGGGTTTGTCATCCTGGTAATTGCCATTGCTGCTGATGTTTTCGCTCGCTTGGCTTGTACCTTATTCGCATTAAGTTTGGCTTCTTGTCCGTATCAATCCTATCTTGTAGATTGCGCAGTGGCACAGCAGGTTGCTCGTGTCGCAGCGTGGCGCTATCATTGTCTGGACGTTCGCACCGCAGTGTTCGAGTGGAAAGCCGTGCAGGTGTGATGTCAGCGCTCGGTCCAAGCCTCGTCATATTTTGTCCTCCCCTTCCTCCTTCGCCATGCCTCTAGCCTGTGCCGGCGCGCGCCCCAAGCCGCAAGATTTCGCGGACCGTTGGGGCCCCGCGGGACAGACGCCGATGGTGGGAGACAGGACGCGCCTCTCGAAGAAGACCACCTTGCATAAGCACAACTTTTCGCAGCTTCGCGCGGAGATCTCGGATCGGCGCTGGACCTCCCTTCCGGCGCCTCCGGCGCCGGGCCACCCTTGCTGC